GTTAAGAAACATATAATCAAAGACACAAAAATCAATTTAATTCACCAGCTTGCAAGAATCAACTCTACAAATGTTGAAACATGAAAATTGCTTACAAATGTATGGCAAATTGTCTTCATATTCGGACAACCTAGGATGTTCTTCACTTTGTTGCAATTTGACTAGTGGATCAAATTCCTTGGTGGGTGTTGAATTTCTAAACAGAATTTATATTAATTGGAATGTCAGATCACTGCTTTGAATCAAGTTGGAATTAATTACAGCCATGCATAGTAATTATCTTCTTACATCAAAGTAATAATTACTAAAAATAATGAAACATTAGTGGAGAATATATAATCATAACTTAATTGTTTAAACATTTTTGGTTAAAAAACAACTATGCGTTCAAAAATTGTATCAAGTTTGCAATAAATAAGGAGAAAGTGGCATCAATGTCATCATATTTTGCTTGAATATCAAGGGAATCATTTCACTTTTTTTTGTCTGCAAAAAGAAATTAATGTTTTTGTAGCCAATAGTTTTTCTATGTTTTCTAGCTAAGATGATAATAACAAATTAATTAGAGATGTAGCTAATTTTCAAATGTAAAAAAATCAAATTAAATTGATTTAAGGCAATTCACTCATGTAACAACCCTTAAAATATAATATCTAATAGATTTTAAATCAGTAACTCTTTTCCTATTTCTAAATTGCAATCTCTTTTGTAAAATATATATAATTTTTATTATTAATTGAAGATTAGCCGCTAAGAAAAATTATGAAGATAGGCAAAGCTACAACATGGTATAAGAAGTTAAAGACATGTCATTGATTAATGGGCAGATGTTGATGTAATTAATGAAGAGTTTATAGTTTTTTATGAGATTTAAGTTGTAATGTTATGCTAACAAATTGATTCCTCGAATAAATTGCAGCCATAAATTATCCATTATCACTTTTTAATTACTTTCATTTTGAGTTATGATATATATTAATACTTTTATACTTATTCCAATAAACTCAATTAAAATTTGAGTTTTTTAAATTAGAGGTGTCAATTCAAATCTTAATAATGAAAAATACGAGATCAATAAAAGGATTATCTCTTGTTATGTTACTTTGGTTATGCTATTTTTTCTATAACAATCAAATATTAACAGTTGACTATGAACAAATAAATATAATAAAATATAAGTAAATATTTAGTTCGGTTGATACATAATTCATCTTAAGCGATATCAAATGTTCACTTTTTCTAGATTAAAAAAAAAAAAAAGTAATGCATAATAATGTGACGCCTAACAAGCTTTTTTTAATATGTAATTCAATAATTGCTTTTTTTTTGTGAATCATTTGAACCAAACCCTCTTCTATGATCCAAAATTCATGACAAAATTCCATTATACTCTTTACATATTAAAGGAGTCTCTTCTATCCATAAATTAAGAATATGAATCTTATGACTTCAACAAGTACAGATTATTAGCTTTGATGTGGTTTGTGCAAAAACAATTGGGGGTTGAAATTTAATAATGAATTCTAAGTATCATGTTCAGGCATGCATGAAAAACTAGAGAGTAGGCATATGCTTTTCAAATGTTGTAGCATGTGACAAAAGCTTTAACTTCTTTTTGCACTTGAAATTGCACACTTCATGGGAAAAAAAAAAGTTTTCATTCTTCAGCACTTAATCCTAGCTATCCAAAGGAACCTAAAGGAAATGATATCAAAGAAAATCCATAACTCATCAAGGAATATATAAATTTAAGTTGATGCCTTGCCATATCTACTTTTTGTTTTTTAAATCATCAAAGGATTATGAAAAATTAGATTAATTAGTTTCCAATAAGCAAAAAGATTAATCTACATATGTTGGGATTTTAACCCCCCAATTATGATTATATTAACTTCGATTTAGTACTTAAAATTAAAAAAAAAAAACAACAAACAAAAATTATTGTGTAATCATATGACAGTATATATAAATTATTTATGTCTTGCATATCCTCTTTTTATTTTTTATTTTTTTTAATTTTTATTTAAAAAAGAACTGCAATCTAAGATTAATATAAAACCCTTTCAAGCTATAGGCTTACACGTGTAAAACCAGTTGTTTGGTAATTCAAAGTAATAAATTATTAGATCCTCTAACTAAAACAATAAAAAAAAAAACTCCCAAATTTTATCATTTACTAAATAATTTTTTTATATTTTATTATATTTAAATAAACCTTTTAATCTTTAATTTGCACTTAAATAAATCATTGATTTTAATTTATATCTAAATAAATTTGTAATTAATTTGTACCTAAACAAACTCTTTACATAAATTAATCTTTTATTTGAAAAAAGATTTATTTAAATATAAATTTCAAAGATAAGAGCTTATTTGGATGTAATTAAAAATATAAATTTATTTAGAAAAATAAAATAGTTTAAATGCTTTTTTAGTATGCTAGTGTTCCTTTTTCTTTCTTAATTTACCACCTTTTTTTGCATTTAACTATGATTTGATTCCATTGTCGATTGATCATTGGATCAATTGATATGATATTAGAGTTAATGTTGGGAGAATGTGAGTTCAAAAAACTTATATACATAATGTCCTCATTAGCCAAATAAATATAAAAGTAAAGGTTTAAAAGTAGATTAAAAAAAAATTATGATAATGTTTTGATTGTTTAAGAACCTTATCTTGAATTCTAATGTTTATCTAATTCAATTATAAGTGTTGTTTTATCAACTTTGAAATTAATGTCAAAGATATCTATGCAACCCAACAATTATTTAGCCTAAATTATTGGGCAAGATTAGGATATTTATTGATAAAGATATCTTCATTCCTCCAATTACAAATTGTATGAATCCACCATTTCTTAGTTAGTTAGGTTGATGAGATTAACTAAAGGAGAAAATATTGTGGCAACTAATCATTGCTATTCCCTTCTTAATTAATGTCATTATCTAATCACAATCTCTCTATAATATAATTGTCTTAATGTTTTCTCTTTTTGGTATTATTAAAATAAATTACAATTCTATGGCATTTTTTCTTTTTTTGGTTAATAATTGTCTGACTTGAAAATAGTTATGCTAATTATTAAAGCATTTGAAAACTAACTATACAATAATTTAATTAATAAATCTAATTTACTATTTGATATCACAAACTTTCACGTTTATCTTAATTTTAAGCTAACGTTAAAGAACAAATGTCAATCTTTTAAATGTGTTTATAAAATTAAAAAAAAAAAATCAACAATGTATCATATAATAATATTTGAGTCAATATGCTAATTTTAATATGAATAAATTAACTTTTTTTATTTTAAAATCATTTAATATATACATAAATCTCATAATTTAAAATACGATATAATGACACGATACAAACACAACATGAATATAGGATACGAAAGTAATACGACTTAAAATTTTAATAATAATTATACATAAATTTAATAAAATTAAAAAATTATATTATTTATTTTTATTTCGAAACGAATTATAACATGTAATTTTCGTGTAAAACAAAATATAATTATATGAATTTCAATATTATACATGAACGATCAGATCTAATTATAATGTCCAAGTTGAAAGAAATCAAAATCTAACACGTTCTCAATGGTTCTACAATATATTCGGTCCTTAATTTCTTCGAAGATTTGTGGAGAAGATGGATAGATTGCTATGATATCTTCATCGCATGGCATAAAGTATCTTCAATGATTCTGCTGGACATATATTCTGTCTTTATTTCTTCAAAAGATTTGTTGAGAAGATTATAGTTAGATTGCTGTAATATCTTCATTGCATGGCATAAGGTATCTTCAATGATTCTGATGAGCTGAAAAAAAAAATGTTCATAAGAGTAACAAAGGCATATTTATAGGATAAATTTTTTAAAATAATTAATTAATAAAGTTCAATATGAAAATTAATAAATATATAAATTATTAAAAATGTTATGTATAATTAAATTTTGATTCAATATTCATTTGATCTATTTATTTTAATTTTCAATTTAAAATTTTTGTTTGAACATTTTTAGTAAAAAATTTCATAAATTTCACTTTAAAAAACATCTCATAAATCTTTTCTTACTTATAACATCAACTTGAGCCCAAACCATTTTATCACATTGAACAACAGCTAAGATTTCACTAAATTTGGAACTTAATTTAATCAATTTAATTATTTTGGAAAGTAGCATTCAAGTAAATTTTGAGTTCGAATCTTAATATCTAAAACTCATTTTTTTATTTCTAAGTTACAACTTTTCATAAACAAAAAATAAAAACATATATTACTTTCAATATATTTTTTTAAAAAAATTAAATTAAGTATTATTTTATAAAATTGTATAACAAAATAATATTATAAATGAGATCCATGTTAAATTAATAGATTTAAATAGGTGACTTGATTTTACTAAAGAACAAAAGCAAATACAACCTTTTTCTCTTATTTTTTGTACTTTATTAATTTTAAATAAAAAATTAAATTAAATGAAAAAGTAAATTTTCAAACAATTGTGATTTATAGATAAAAATGTTAGGGTTTTAATAAGATTCAATTTTTGATAACTTTAAATATTATAAAAAAGGGAAAATATTAAATCGAGTAATGGAGATGTTTTGATATTCAAAAACTCAACTAGAGCAATATTTTCAATATATATATATATATATATATATGTGTGTATGTATATAAAACATAGAAAAACCTTTAAAATTTTTTTTCTTTGTCTCTTTCTCTTCATTCTCTATCAAAATCCCAACAATCCAAAACACCAAAAGTCAAAGAAATACGCCAGGAAACACATGGCAAGCAAAGGTTGGATTTGAGGCAAAAGAAATATCCACTTGGGTGTTGACTGGTGCATCCTTGTGCCAAAAAACAGACACGAAAGGAATAGCCTCACATGGTCTTTTAGCCTTGGTTTTTCCTTGACTCCCGAAGACTTTCAACTCTTTCTTGGGCCTATAAATACCTTAGACAGATTGCCAGCAAACGATATCTCCTCAAATCAACATTCTTCACGTGCTCTCTCTCCCTGTAGCTTTCTGGTTCTGTTTTGCTTTGCTTTCCATTGCTGCTCTATCAGCCTTCTTTAGTCTATCTGTTTCTTTTTTTATCCACTGCAAGCCTCCTTTTTGTTTGGTTTTTTTTAGGGCCGTTTCTGTTAAGATCTATCAAAGTAGTTTTGTTCGTTGGTTGACAAAGAAAGCTTTTAAGAAAAACAAAACAAAAAAAAAGTTTTACTTTTCTGGTATGGAAAACAAAAGGCAAGTGAGTGGTTCTTCTTCTTCTTCATCATCATCATCATCTGTTTCTTTGGATCATCTCTTTGGTCCCAAGGACTCTTCTTCTTCTTCTTCATCCACAAGTGGGATTTTTGACACCATTTTCCCTCCTCCATCAACGGTAAAAAAAAAAAAAAAAACCTGGTTTTTAGACATTTTTCTCATCAATTTGTATTCATAAATGATACAACCTTGTTGATTTTTATGGTTTAAAATGAAAAAAAAAAGAAAATTCCGTTTACTCTTTAGGCAACTATGTACTTGAAAATATATGAAATTTTGGTACTGAGAGGTAATTCTTGATTGGAAGTTAGAAGTTGATGTATGTATAGGATAAAGATGGTTTATTGTTTAATTAGTTTGTACATTTCTTTCCAACTTCATGGAATTGGCTTTGAATGATGATCAAAAGTTGATGTGATTTATATTTTTAAGTGAATGATTCTTGAAAAGATGCAGAGAGAAGCTTATATATAATACACTAAAGTCTGTTCATCAAGTGCTTGTTGTAACCTTTTTTTATGATTCACTTGGTCGGTAGAATATACTAGCTAGTGGAGTATACTCATTTTTTCTTTGAATATTTTAACTTTTCTAAGTGATTTGCATCATTGAATGAAAGAGAAGGGATATTGGAAGTGAAGGAGAAGAAAGAAAATGTAGGCTGATTGGTATATTCCAATAGTTGCTAGAATTAGTGCTTTTGGATTAGACTGTGCAATAGAACTTGACCCTGGTGACTGGTAACTATGCATGGCTTCTCTTTATTGTGATTATCCTTCTTTTTGTTCTAATTTTTATAGATTTTGCTGGTTGTTTTAAATGGAATTGTGCTGCAATGGTCTGAATTGTTCTCTTTCTGATTTCAGGTGCTAGGGAGGGACTCCAGTCACTCTGGAATGATGGGGTCATGGAATAATCAGGGTTTGCCCCATCATGGCAAATATGGAAATCCAGGTTTGTCATGCCTTGTTGCTTTTGTCATTGCCTTTTGTGCTGGTTCTTAGATGAGTAGCAGGAAACCTTGAGTTCTTTTAATTTGATAAAAACAAACTATATGAAGTTGCTTTTACTGGATTCTCAAGCAACTGATGACATGAGAAAGCTGGATGAGAGAATATAATGTGAATCCTTCACATTTTTGTTTCAGATCACACCACTGATAGCAAGGGACAAAGCAGTGGCACAACTAACAAAGACAAGAGTTCGTCCGTTTATCATAATGAAACAGTGGAACCTTGCAATCTCAGCTCATCTATCTATTATGGAGGCCAAGAAAATTATTCTCCAAGGAAGAAGACCACTGAGTCTCCCCATTATGTAACTATAACACAAATTACAATATTCCTTAACAAACACTTTGTATAGGTCCTGCATCTTGCTTTCTCTACATGCTAACTACCAGGGATTTCTCTGTTCTTGGTCTTTTGTTTTGACAGTTCAAGAAGGATGGGGGAGATGATGATCCCAATGGAAACAATTCTGGTGGTGCTTCAAGAGGGAATTGGTGGCAGGGTATGAAAGCTGTGGATTTTTGTTGATAAACAAAATACTCTTCACTGTCCATAAAAATTATAGTATTGAACAATCTTTAATCAATTTATTCTTTGTTTGTACAGGCTCACTTTATTACTAACATCTTAATCCAAAATAATGCAAACTTTCCATCCCAATACTTTAAGGTATATATTAAAAATTGTCTGATGGATCTCCTTTTTGCTTTATCTGTATATATATGCACCCTTCTGTTTTACATTTTTTTTTCTACATTCACCACTTTGAAAATTTATTCATAGAGGATTCAACTGACAAGGAAAAGAAATCACCCCACCTTATTTGTGCTTGACTTTTATGCATATGCCTGTTACAGGCCAAACAAAAATATAGCAATAATAATAACAGTTAAAAAACACAGAAACCAATTTTCTTTTATGTTCTTGGCATAATATTTCTTCTTATAGTCTAGCATACTTCCATATTTCTTTGATCAAGCTGATTGAAATTATATCTGTGGACTATTTTGCAGGAACACTAGCAGCATAATTAATCGTATTATTACTATGGAAATAAGCTGGTAGATAGCTAGCAATACAGTAGAAGCATATAGAGCATAACACAGCTTAGGAATTTGAGGAAGAGTGTTGACCCTGTAAGCTGTTATATGTAGGGCAGACAGCTCGGAGCACGCCGGAATCATGTATTATATGTTTATCTACTTTTCTTTTGCCTGACTAATCTAATCTTCTTGTTCTGAACTATGCTCTGTGGGATTTTTCCCACAAGAAAATGGATTACTATAACTATATATTGACATATATAGCATACCCTTCTCTCATCTTGATTTCACTTTCAAGATTGGATGCATTTTAGCATCTTATATACAATGAATGATCACAAAGAGAAGTTATATGTTGCCAACAGTCACGTGATCTGTAGTTCCAGTGACTGGATTCAAATTCTGGTTTCCATATTCTGGTTTATTTTACAGGAATCATGCAAGATAAGGGTTTCAAGAATTCCATTTATTGAGGAGAGGTTTTTGAGCATTGAGCAGTAAGAAAATACTTGAAGTTATCGAAAGATTACTGAACACAATCTTTTATGTATCATTCAAATACATCACCAGGAACCATGACTTGTGCCTTCATGCTCAAGGCAGAGTGTAATCTGCAAAATGTAAGAAGCAATTTCAAGAGATGCAAATGAAGAAGGAAAATGAGAGTCAAACTTGGTGAATCTTGTAAAAGCAGAGGAAAAATGGATAAAGAGTCTGTAAATAATACTGTAAAAATAAAATATACCTCCACATTTGTAACCCATGGGACGATCTGCAATGTTGCAGGGTTTAGGAATGGTCACAGCAACTTCTGGCTTGATTCCAGAACTCTTAGCTGTGTTAGAAAGCATAACAGCGCAGAGACATCTTGGATTCTGGCCTATTTTCCTCACCTGTTGGCAGCAACTGTCAGACACTTGAGCATTCAAATCTTGTGCTGCCATTGCACAAGGAGCCAACTTCCAGGCTTCACTGTCAGGGGATGATCTCCCACATTCACCAGCTCCTTCTGCTACATTGAGCTCAGCAATGCCAAAAATAGCAAGAAACATCAAAAAGCAGATGCACTTCATTTCTTCAATATTGCAATGCATAAACACTTCTCAACTTCAAAATTTATAGTAAAACTAATCAACTAAAAACGTTTTTAATGAGTAATACATATGAAACCCACAAATCGTAGTGGATGTAGCACTAGAGAAAAGTGTTTTGTTTATTGCAGCACCTACTACTCCAATGGCGGTTAGTGCCTGCTAAAGCCATTACTGTAATTCCACTACTTCTTTATCCTGAAGGGGCAAAAAGAACCTTTTCATGAGAAGCTGACAGCATAGCATCTAACAAGTTCGACTTCTATCTACATATCCATTACCCTCTCTCTCTCTAGTCAAAGGAGATCGCAATATGGGAATATTAGAATTTGAACACCAGACTTGCTGGATATTGTCTCTTATGAATGACTGCATGTACAAATTAAAACTCGGGGAATCAGATAATCAATGTTCCTTGTAAAGTCCTCCTGGCAACAATTCGTGTGAAGTTCATTGGCTTAATGAAAGAGTTCCTTACAAGATAAAGAGAATAAATGAATGGTATATGTCGACAGTTCTATTGCTTTTACTCCTAGTGTTAATCCAAAATTCTAAATTCTCTCTTTTCCTAATCGGCTAACCCTCATCTCTTTTTTTATTTTTTAATCATTTCTTCCACAGAGCTAGCTACCCAAATCTTCCTCCTCACCAATATATAGGATATCGGTCTGTTGGCATGTTGTCCTGCTTTATAAATTCCAAATACACCAGATAAACATTGCTTGTAGTTAACCACTATTTACTAGTAAAAAGCCAGTGAACTGCACCCGAATCATTTCATTATCTGAGAATTTAGTTCAATGATTGATGTATCAATCGCTGTTCAATAAGCAAAGTTTGAATGTCCCATCCCTGAATTTAAAAAAAAAAAAAAAACCAGTGAATTCTTAGTGGACCACTTGCATGATTCACTTTCATGGCAGAACCAAGCTGGTCTACTCTATTTGTTGAATCACCAACTGTTCTCTTCTTGCAACTTGCCACTCATATCGTTTAGGATATGCGATCTTACCTCACTTGAATATGAAACATCCTAAAAGCCTCATTAGTTCAACAACATCATATAAAAGTCAATGATATCAGTTAGATTGTTCAACTCAAGTGACCCTCTCCATTATTGATCCTATTGACAGCATAAATTGGAGAAAATGGTTATCGAGCAACAAGCAAATGTTTTGCAAAGAAAACTAACCTTTTATTTAGTATTATTAAAGGAAACAACTATACTTCGATTTATTATTCAAAGATCCAACTGCAGTTTTATTTTTCACTCAAACAGCTGGATGTCACAGTGAAACTCATCAACTAGATTGACTAGCAACAAGAACAAACCATGGGAAGCACAGGACGACGAACAATGGGAGCCTTCACACTTAAAGGAGAGGGAAAACTGCAAGAAATAAACAATAGCTTCATGAGAATGGAACTAACACTAGCAGCATTATATAAAAGCAAGGGAGAAAAGGTGTAACCAAGAACACATTATGTAATATGCGAATTCTACCTCCACACTTGTGACCGACAGGACGAACAGCAATGTTGCAACGTTTTGGAATGGTCACGGCAACTTCTGGCTTGATTCCAGCGTTGTATGCTGTATGTGCAAACATAATAGCACAGAGGCAGCTTGGATTCTTAAGCTTTTTCTCCATTACAGTGCAGCACCGGTTGGAAACTGGAGCTTTCACATCTTGGGCTGCCTTTGTACAAGGTGCCAGCTTCTCAGCTTCCTTCTCGATGTTATGTCTCCCACATGGACCATAATCATCATGTCCTTCCACTCCATTGAACCCAGCAATGGTCATTATCAACAAGAAACGCTAGAATACAGATGTACTTCATTGGAGCTTCCATTTCTTCAACAAGTTGTGCTGAAAGAAAGATGCTTCTCAACAATTTATGCTGAAACAAATAGCTAAAAAATATCCAAATACATGTGAATTCCACCATTACAATGCATGTGGAACTAAAGAAAAGTCTTTTATCAGCTGCAGCACCTACTATTCCAGAACATCGATTCAGAGTTACCTGACCATCAAAGGTCAACAATTACATCTTGTTTCTCTGGAATCTCTTCCAAACGACCTTATTAAACCCATCCACAGTTTACACATTCATGGAAACCAGAATCATTGAAATGCAAGCCGACATTGATACATCTATAAACAACTAAGGTATCATTTCAAGCTGAACACACAGCATTAGCTTATAAAAACCTAGTATATTGACTACCTTACCTTCTTCTATTCTGCCTTCATAGCATGTTTGTGGGCTGATAAGCTTGTGGTTTTGGGTCTTTATTCCTGCTACTTTCTCATCTGTAACTCATTAAAACAATGTTCTAAGACTTCAATGCCTGCAGTAACCTCAATAAGCAACTTGTTTCCCAGTTCATTTGTCGGTGAAATACAAAATCTAGCAATTTGTCAAACACTACTCACTGTTCTGCAACGTAGAGCTGATCTCCACCGACTTGATACCTGCACTGTCCTAACCCATTAAAATTAGATAATAAAGAAAATTTCTTCACCAGTTCTGTCAAAAACCCAAACAGATCTGGCAAACTACGAACTAAAAGTCTAACAAATATGTTCATTTCACATCTTTATGACAATAAACCCTCTCTCCTTCGTTGTACGGAAAGAACACAAATGCCATTCCTTGAAATTACGAAGTTAAAATTTCAATGTGATCACATCCAGTAGAACATACTGATATCCTATATTTTCATTTTCTGTATAATCTCAGCTAGATTATACAACAATAATAACAACAAAATCAAAAGCCCAAGTGAAAATACAGTATCAAAACAACTTTTCATACAAGAAAAAGATCCCCAGAAGAAACCAAAAACCCAAATGAAACATCAACAACAATTCTCGAAGTTCCAATCTGTATAGCCTTGTTCCATTATAATTCTGGAATCATAAGGGTTCCACGTTAGGCCGATGAAGACGGCGAGCGTGAAGAGGGAGTTCACGTTCACAACACTGTCCAGGGCGGTGACATGGATGCTGGTTGTCATGATCGGACGATGGGGAGTTTCAGTAGAAAGATCAGACGGCGGAGATCTCTCTGTTTCTATTATGCTGAGGACGTTTTAGTTAGTTCGTTTAAGGTTGTGAAATTCACGGCCTTTTTTTTCTATTTCATTTTCCCAGAAAATGCGTAGAAGAAAAGTAAAAGTTGAAGCAACAGCATTTCGGCTTTGGGAAAAAGGGGAACGCCGCTGCCGGGGATCGAACCCGGGTCACCCGCGTAACAGGCGGGAATACTTACCATTATACTACAACGACTTGGTTGGAAAAGCTGTTCAATTATATAATATATTTAGAAACTAGCAACACCCAGAAGAACCAAGGGCAAAATTAGGAATGTTTGATCAATTGGATAAATTTCAAACCGAATTTTTCAATCAAATTTAATTTGGCCGGTTTAGTTAACCAAACAATAAATATATTTAAATTAAATTGTATTTTAAACTCTTAATTTCTTATATTTTAAATAAATTAAATAAAATTATCTAATAAAATATTCAAATACCAAATATTATGTTAAAAATTCTAAAAATTTATGAAATAAAATAATTTATTTTATATTTGAATTTTTTTATATTTTGATTAATTTGGTTAATTTTGTTTTCAAATCAAATTAATTGAAAATTAAATTTTATCTAAAATCTTTTTCGTTAATTAATAAAAATTAATTTGATGATTAATTTATTCAATCAATTAATTCAATTAAATTCGAATTATAAACACTCCAAAATAAGACAAAATGTAACAATATAGTTGATTAATGTTTAGTTGTTCATAGATTTTTGATTGTTCTCAAAGGTGAAAAATATTGGTAAGATTAACATGAGATTTAGCTTGAATGATTCATTTCAATTCTCATAAGTTTGCAATTCGATCCCTACACTTTTAAATTGACTATTTTTTGTCAATAGTTATATTTTATGTCAAATGGAAATGAATGCTCGGTATTTTTCTTGTTCATTGTTGATAACTCATTTGGAAGGAAGGGTGGTGAAATTTAGGTTGCATTATGCAATGTTTTCAACTTATTCAAAAACATAGTGATCCATATGAACTTATGTATGGATTTGACTCTTTTTCAATAGCTTGTGATTTTCTTACACCAAAGAAAGTCCAATTTTTTATTCTCCACATGAATTACGTATGTAGTTGAGGCCATCATATCCAGTGCTTCCTCTTTCTTTTTGGAGAGTTATGAAATTCAAGTATGCTATGTTGGATTTTTAACTTCTCAAAATCCAAATGCATTTGATTATAGTAGTTTAAGTTAGCAATGCCATTTTGAAAAGTCATTGTAGTTTAACTTCGGCTTTCTCCTTGGATGTTCCTGTGCAGCCCTCTTTTGTCTTGGATACAACATTCTTTCTACTTCTGTTTCTGGACTCGGTAATAAGAGCATTTGGTCTAGTGGTATGATTCTCGCTTAGGGTGTGAGAGGTCCCGAGTTCAATTTTCAGAATGCCCCCACTTTTATGGTTTTCCCTTTGACTTTTATGGTAACCATTTATGCACAATAAGCAGAAGAGAAAATGCGAACAAACATCTCATGGCTATATTTTATGTCATCTCAGTTACACACGGTTAACATCCTAAAAAACAGTAGACTGCTTTGATATAAATAGCAGCTGCTTCAAATGAACTACAAGAATCAGTAACACAACCAAAACGATATAAAATTTAACTCGTACACATCAGTATTTTGCTACAACCAGAAGTTTTCTGTCATTAAGTATTCTATTTGTCATACCTTATTCTTTTCCTCTCCTCAGAAAATCTCAAGTGACAGTATATCGCGGAGGATTTTGTCGCATTCTCAACCTATTCTGGTATGCTGATGATTGTTTTGTTATAACTTGATCCTTTTGATTCCCTGAGCTCTCAGTACTGTTTGAGTTCAGAATTGATGAACCATCTGTTGGATTGCCACGTAACTTTGCTTTTGAATCAACTCCAAGATAATTAGTCAAGACCCTCTTCACTCCAAAGCCACGGCGGTGAGGCTTGCTGTTGTTGTTGGTTGTGTTGTTGTTGTTGTTCTCCTTGAGAAATGGAGTTCTCTCTGCCTTTGCAGGGCCGATCAGTGGTGCAGGTGAAAAACTTGGTGTGGTGATTGCTGTTTTGTAGGGACTGCTCGAGGCAGGCACAGAATATGGGATTGAAACCTTTTTGTGTGCAATTACACTAACTGTAGGAACCGATGCCAACTTTTCTGAATGCTTCGTTAAGTCATCTACATATAACAAATCATCAATGCGTGCCACAATGTTATATGCCAGGCTTTCCAGAACTCTTGAATAGCTTTCAAGAATGGACTTTCCGACATCCTGGAAGTTTAAAATAAGTTATAATTGAACAACAATTGGAGGGAGAATCAAGTAGCCTTTGGCAAAACTAGATATTTTCAGAAAAGGGATTCCAACCTTGTTGCACTGGATTTTGCTGGTATCCAAGGCAGTTTGAGTCAAACCAGGGAACCTTTGTTTCAAGCAAAGCAGGAGATTTTCGGCTCTTTCTGCTAGCAATTCTCTCTGGTCTCCATTAACCATTAGGTCTTTTACCATTTCCCATGATGACTTTGTAGTAGATTGGTTTGGATTGATTGGAGGCTTCGAGTGAAATTTTCAAAAGATTAAAAGATACAAACTTTTCCCATGCTTTCTCAGCGGACAGCAACCAAGGAGGATTATACAGATTGAGAAAGTCACTTTTCAAATTTCACATGATTCTGAAATTTTTCTTCATTTTTTCCTTTTAATGCAACAAAAAATGATTCTGGACTACTTTAAAGACGACAATTACCTCAAGCTTACTTCCATCTGGAAAATTTTGCCAAGAGGGTATCAATTCAACAATGTGGTCACTAACACTAACAAGCCACTCCATCTCTCTTTTCCACATGGATTTCTTCTCCTCATGTATAGGCTCTAATCTCCACAATTGCCCAAATATAGTAGCTACATATAGTATTTACAAATTTAATAAGTTCACAAAATAACAAAGTTAATTAAATTGGAACAAGAACCTTAAAAATCCATAAATTCAAAGAGAGAGAGAGAGAGAGAGAGCATGCCACAGAGATTGGTAATGGCATTTGAAATAGCCAAAGCTGTGCAAACCCCTTTTCCTGACCCTGACATGTCTTCACCAAGCAGCAATTTTGCAAACCTCTCCTTCATCATGTCAATCTCTACTTAAATTTCCAAAAAGAAAAAAGAATCAGACTTTTTTTGGCCAAAAAACAAATCCATGTGGGATTTATGGAATGACAGAAAGCTACCACTGCCTACCTAACCAAACATCAGAAAGCCAAAATACAAAATTTAAACTTAAAAACAACATTACTAACCATTAATCTTTGAACTCAGTTTTTTAAACTTGTCATCTTCATTACTAATCTTGTCTTCATCTCCATTGCCATCAGCAACATCTGAATTCTTTGACACTGTAGCAGGAGTAGTAGTTGTAGTAGCAATAGCTCTCCTTATAGGCCAACCCAAAAGAGAAGGAGGTGAAGCTGAAGCAGACCCTGACCCTGACACTCTAGCCTTATTAACCTTAACTTTGTCAACCAAATTCCCTGAACTTGATCTACTGGAACTACTACTATTACTACCCTCTTTAGACTCACCACTATTACAACTACTCAACTCACTTGCAGACTCAGTCCAATCATCTTTCTTCTTCAACAAAGCCTCCATTTGTGGAAAGGGTTACCAACTTAACCAACTACCCTTTTCCTTATCTCTGAAAAACATACAAAAAAAAAAAAGGCTAAGCCTTTGGGTTACC